AGGGTGTGTGGAACCCCCCCCCCCAAAACCTTAATGAGCTCATTAAGGAGTGGTATCAGCTCCAGCAACACCCCCACAACCCTGGCTGTACCTATACATCTACTTATTTATATATATAGGGGTCTCCCCATGTGTCATCACCAGGACCTGGTGTCCCCACCCCATAAGTTGAGGCAGCGCCAGTGCAGAGTTGACTTTATTGAGTGGGGTGACAAACCCGGGGGGCACCCCCTGGCCCCTTTCTCCCCCCCCACCCCCCAACCCTGACTTCCCCCCAGCCATCACAGCTTCATGCTGGCAGCAGGACCCAAGTGCAACCCCAAGAACTGGATGATCTCCTGCCACCCACCCCGATCTCCCCACCAGCCCATCACAGCTTCATGCTGGCAGCAGGACCCAAGTGGACCTCCAAGAACTTGACAATCTCCTGCCACGAGTGGTCCTGGGCTTTGGCGTGGGCTTGGGCTTCACCTCCCCACACCACCGGCCGGGGGGTTCCTCGGATGCTGGAGATGCTACAAAGTGGGGAACCTGGAGGTTCGATCAAGTGCCCGGCCCCGGGGTAGGAGAGGACGCGACCGCTCTCCGGTGGCATCCGTGCCATGGCCAACTCGGCGAAGAGCTTGCTGTTGAAGCTACGGTCGTTCTCCCCCACCACGAAGAGGACCTTCCCTCGGATCTTCTCCACCGGGATGGCTGAGGAGCTGTAGGCCGGGTCCCGGGGGTCAGCGAAGATGGCCGAGTTGTCCATGGCCCCCACCTCCGTGAAGAGGACGCGCTCGGTGTAGTAAGGGATGGGGGGGATGCGGAGGTCCTTGTAGACCAGAGGGTTGCCATGGAGGAAGGCCGTGCCGTTGATCCACACCGTGGCTACCACCTGCGGGAGGAAGGTGGCCATGGCCAGGGCCACCTCTGCTCCTTTGGAGACGCCAACGACACCCAGGCCGGGGCCTCGCACCTGCAGTGGTGGGGGGAAACAGCCAGTTGGTAGCACTGCTGGGATGTTACCGGTTGTCCTCAGTCACCAGAACAACCCCAGACCACCAGGACATCGCTGGTCACCAGGACATCCCGCTCACTGGGATGTCCTCAGTCACCAGGACATCTTGCTTATCAGGATGTCCCTGTTCCCCAGGACATCCCTAGTCACCAGGACATCCCCAGATCACTAGGACATCCAGCTCACGGGGACATCCCCGATCACCACAACATGGTGGTGATATCCCACTCACTGGGATGTCACCAGGACAACCCACTTACTGGGACATCCCTGGTCACCAGGACATCATGCTCATTAGGATGTCCCCAGTCGCTAGGACATCCCACTCACTGGGATGTTCCCCTGTCCCCAGTGCATTCCTGCTCACCAAGGCATCCCTGGTCACCAGAACATCCTGCTTACTGGGACATCACGAGGACATCCCTGGTCACCAGGGTGTCCATGGTCATCAGGACATCCTGCTCACTGGGACATCTCTGGTCACCAGGGCATCCCTTGCTTGCCAGGACATCCCTGGTCACCAGGACATTCTGCTTACTGGGTCATCACCAGGACATCCCGTTCAACTGGTCACCAGGACATCCCTGATCACTGGGATGTCCCCAGTCACCAAGGACCACCCTTGCTCACGGGGGGCCACCCGTCGCTCTGCAGGACTCACCTTGGGGTGCCGGAGGAGCAGTTCGGCCGCCTCCTCGAAATACTCCAGGTCGAGCTGGGCCAGGGTGCGGGGCAAGTCATCGTAGGCGAAGAAGGCCAGGGCCAGCACCGCGAAGCCCCTACTGGCCAGTAGCCCCGCTCGAAACTCAATGAGGCCACCAGCACCCCCAAAGAGGTCAATCACACCCGGGAAGGGTCCTGGTCCTGTGGGCAACCAGAGAGACCATCACACTGATGGTGGTGGAGAAGGAGCTACCGGTGCCATCCCACCTCCCAGGGTGCCCACTGATGGTGGTGGAGATGGAGCTACCGGTGCCATCCCACCTCCCAGGGTGCCCACTGATGGTGGTGGAGATGGAGCTACCGGTGCCATCCCACCTCCCAGGGTGTCCCTGATGGGATGAAACCGGACAACGTGGGGGTTCCCCACACCCCATTTCTCACCAGGTGGCAAGAAGAGGGCCCCACGGACCCTGCCCTCCCGGATGGGCACCCTCTGGACGCCAGGACCCACGTACCACCGCTCGGCCTCACAGGAGGCCAGCGGCTGGTCCTGTGGCCCGGTGACCAGGCGGACGCCATCGAAGACCTCCAGGCGGACGAGGTAGGGGCTGCCGGCCACGTCCCTCTTGACCAGCCGTCGGAAGAGGGTGTCGGGCTGCAGGAACCAGAAGACCCCCATGGGCCAGACGCCGGAGTAGCTGCCCCCTAAGGCGGGGTGACGGCTGGGGTCCACCTCGCCCCCCGCGTCGGCGCGGAAGAAGGTGCGGGACTGGAAGCATTGGCCTTGTTCATCCGTCAGTGACGCCCGTAGGGTGATGAGCTGGGAGGGGGACAGGCCCCGAACCTGCACCTGCACCGGCCGGTCGGCCAGCGAGGACTGGGGTGTCACCGTCACCTCCACCATGGTTGCACCTGGGGATGGAGATGAGCATCAACCCCCCCTCCTTGAGCTTTCCATGGTCACCATGACCAGGGAAAGGGGGGATGCTTGGTGGCCCACCACGGTAGTTCCTACTCAGTAGGGGGGGCAACTGGGAGCTCTTCCCCTCCCACATATTTAGGTCCCCTGAGGTGTCCCCAAGGATCCTAATGAGGGGCTACGGCCCTTGGCGACCACACCGTGGGGTTTGTGGTCCACCCGGTCCTGCTGGCATCCCTCCTTCCCTGGTTTCCCCCATCTCTGAGAATGTGCAACACCCCCACACCTCCAAACTCCTCCAGTAGCCCCGCAAATCCCTCCAGCAGTCCTCTAATCCCTCCAGGTGCCCCCCAAACCCCTCCAGAAGCTCCTCAACCCTTCCAGAAGCCCCTCAAACCCCTCCAGAAACCTCCTAATTCCTCCAGAAGCCCCCCAAACCCTCCCAGAAGCCCCTCAAACCCCTCCACATGCCCCCCAACCCTTCCAGAAGCCCCTCAAACCCCCCCAGCAGCTCCCCAAGTCCCTACAGAAGCCCCTCAAACCTCC